GTGCCCAGGGGACGGGACACAGGCGCACTCGCTGTTCACACCCCGTTGACCGCAGGGAGACAGGGCAGCCGTCAGCCTGCCCGTCCCCATGAGCCCTTCACAGAGAAAGGGGCCCCTCCCTCTGGGCCCTGCCTTTGCTTCTGCCCATGAAGTCAGCATCCACGTGAACGGGCGTGTAAACGAAACAGCATGCGCCCACGGGAAGAATGCAAAGGCACGCCACGCCGAGGTGCCCGCTGCTCCCCAAACACCGAGGTGCCCTTCCCGTTGGCAGCACGTCTCTGCCCCGAAACCCTTGCTGCTGCCCCTGCATGGAAAGCCAGTTAAAGCTCATGGCTTATCAGAGACGCAACAGCCACGCCATGCGCGTAACCCACGCTCCAGGGGCTGCAGCCAAACCAGCTCCACCCGCCAGGCTCTCACCTGGGCGCCTCGCAGGCAGCACCCTCACCTCCCACTCCCATTCACTGTGAGTCGAGTCAGGGTCTGATGGCCACTCTGGGGAGATGGAATGTTCTGGATGCACAGCTGGGAACACACTGAAAACTGCTGAACTGTACGCTGTAGCAGGTGCCATGCATGGCATGCAAATTATCTTGAAAGAGCTGTTATTTTAAAAAATTTAAGGCTAGTTATTCAGAGCCACTAGTTTCTTCTGCTTTCCATCTCCAGCATGTAATAGAACGCCGTATCTAATACCGGTGACCGGACACTCGGATTCCAGAAACCAGGCTTCGTGGAGTGGTGAGAGCCACCTGGTCGTGTCCACAGGTCTGTGGGCCGTGCCCGGACACAGGACGGTGATGACTGACAGCACCTCTCGGCTCCGCGTCTGGGGCCTGCGCTAGAAAGTGAGAAAGCGGAAGCAGAACCGCCTGCTGCCACGCACTCGCTGCCACGGGGCTGACGGGCGGCTGCGGGGTGCCCCGGTCCCCCGTGGGAGCTGGCGGGCTGCTGCTCAGCATGGCAGCAGGTCCCAGAGCAGGCGTCCCAAAACCAGAAGCCAGGCAAAGCTGTGCCCTTTATTTTTTTTTAATGCTTTTTATTGATTTCAGAGAGGAAGGGAGGGAAAGAGAGAGAGAGAGACATCAATGAGAGAGAATCATTGATTGGCTGCCTCCTGTACGCCCCACACTGGGGATCAAGCCCACAACCCGGACATAGGCCCTGTCCAGGAATCAAATCTCCAATTCTTGATTCACGTGTCAACTTTCAACCACTGAGCCACGCCGTCCAGGCGAAGCTGTGCCCTTGTTAAGGAAGTCGCACATCGCTGCCTTACCACTGGTGAAGGGGTCACAACCCTGGCCCAGGCCCCCAGGGAGGAGCAAGACCCCGCCCCTCGTCCAAGGTCTGTGAGAACCACAGGAGGGATCCAGCACTGTCAGTCCTACAGTAAAACCTCAGTCTTCCTGAAGAGGGTGAGTTAAAATTCTGGGTTAGCCCTGGCCGGTTTGGCTCAGTGGATAGAGCGTCAGCCTGCGGACTGAAAGGTCCCAGGTTCGATTCCGGTCAAGGGCATGTCCCTCGGTTGCAAGCCCCTCCCCAGTAGGGGGTGTGCAGGAGGCAGCTGATCGATGTCTCTCTCTCATCAATGTTTCTAACTCTCTATCCCTCTCCCTTCCTCTCTGTAAAAAATCAATAAAACATATTTTTTAAAAATTCTGGGTTAACTGGCATCTGGCTAACCATCAATTTGTATGTCAAGCCTCATAAGCAGAATCTCTTATTACCTGTGATAAGCTGTAACCTGTAAGCTACACCTGAGAGCCCGTGTTACTGTCTTAGAAAACAGTGTCGAGGCCTGGATGTAGCAGGTGATGGTTCAGGCGCGCATCCCCCAGGCCCTGCCCCATGGCCACCAGGCCAGCTCAGCTTCTCTGCAAACAGCACGGACGGCACGGGCACAGTTTACCCGGACACACAGGCTGGGCTTCGCCACCACTCGGCCTGAGCCCCGGCGCACTGAGCGGAGTCCCAGGAATGACAAAGGCGGAGAGAAGGCGGGCTTTTAAAATCACCAGCCAGCGAACTCTACTGCCACACGAGAGGGCCTCTCTACAGACCCAGAGCAAGCGGCCGAGAGCGAACCCCTTCTGCCAGGAGCCGAGCCGGCAGCCAGTGCTGATCCCAGACCTGGTTCTGACCTGCTCTGGACCTTAACCCAGTGGCATAACTTCTTTGGGCCTCGGTTTCCTCATCTGCACAACAAAGGGCTGAATCTGCTGAAGACTGCACTGAGGCCTGCAGGTGAGTCACTGCTGCCAGCGTGGGGTGGGCCTGTGAGTCAATCCGCCCTCGAGCTTGAGCATAAACTCAGAGTGTTTACTAATGAGGAGAACGGTTACACGGTTACACGCCAGTGACATGTCCTCGGGGAACCTGGCCGCCCCTCTTGCGATCTACGGCCTCAGCAGCCCCTCAGGCCTCCTGCGCCCACGCAGAGGCTGTCAGGAGGCCCTTTACAAAGTACTGACAGATTCTCTTCAGTCCCAGTCACGACAGGGATAGAGTTTAAATACACAAGAAATGATGCCACACACATCCCACAAACAACAGACAACCCTGTTTGGCGATGAAGAAGTCGGTCTTTGTCTGTTATTCTCACAAGCTGGCGTTTGGACAGGGGTCCTCCTGACTTGGGGCTCCCTCTGCACCCCAACCATGATGACGTCGGGGGAGAAGCAGGCGCCTGGCCGCAGGGTGCTGCTAGGCCTGGGGAGGCGAGGGCCGCCAGCACCCACACCTGCAGACAGAGGTGCTGGGCCGTGGTGCTCACACAGGCAGACCCCAACCTGAAGCTGGACACATCCCTCAGCCACAGTCTGTGGCCAGGAAGCAAGAGGCGAAGGCAGACCTCAGCAGGAAGAACCGCTGCACGGCCGCCTGGTAAACAGAGAGGAGGTGGCGCTGAATTCATTCCCATCATCAGGACGCAGCCTCCACTGGGACCTCGCGCTGAAAACACCAGAAGGTCCAGAAGCCATTCATCAGCTTTCCCGAAGGCATGCAGCTGCCATGGTAACCCTGGCAACGTATTTCTTGGTGCTGGGACATAGAAAGTATCCCTCCTAATGCATTTAATACAGTTTGGGGCCACCGATTCCTAGCAAAACGAATCAGAGCTCTGACTCTCAGCCCCTCTCTGAGCCACTGGAGGCGGAATCCCACACCCCGGACAGCAGAGCAACACGCCCGAAACGCTCGCCTGAAGGCAAAGAACCAAGGAAACAAGACTTCAGCACCCGCCGCCACGCGCGGAGGTTTTGTGAAACAGATGAAGGAAAGTGTCTTACGGCTTCGGGTAGAGAAGCAACGACATTGCAGCCATGTCTACCTCTGGGATCCAGCCGCGTTCCGGAGTCGGAGAAGCAGAGCTCTGCAAAGAACAACTTCAATGACTTACTCAGAGGGCATCTGCCAACCAATAAGGTGCCTGTTCAAATGCCCACACTGCCCCCTCCGAGACACCGAAGGCTCGTCTCTCAGGACCTGCTGGGGCCTTCGCAGCACCTACAATACGGCCGTACATGGCTTTTAAAGCCCCTACCTTCTCATGAGCCACCCCGTGTGGGGACCGGCATGAGCGCTCCGAGCACCGCTGCACAGGCATCTTCAGCCCTGCGCGCCTGGGCAGCCAGGGCGCCA